TTTTTTTTCTTTCATTTTAACCATGTTTTAAGTGTATAGTTCAGTGGCATTCACAGTGGTGTCTAACCACCATTACTGTCTATTTCTAGAAGTCTCTCAGCATCCCAAACTGAAACTCCCCCATTAAACACTAAGTCCCCAGTCCCCTCCCGCAGCCCCTGCTAACCTATATCAAGTTTCTGGCTCTGTGAATTTGCCTAGTATAGGTACGTCTTGCAAGTGGGAGCATACAACATTTGCCCTTTTGTGTCTGGCTTATTTCACTTAGCATCATGTCTTCAAGGTTCGTCCATGTTGTAGCAGGTGTCAGAATTTCACTCCTTTTGATAGCTGAATAGTATTCCTTTGAACGTATGTACCACATTTTGTTGATCCGTTCATCTGTTGATGGGCTCTTGGTTGTTGCCATCTTTTGGCTGCTGTGAATGCACCTGTGAACACTGGTATACCGGTATCTGTCTGAGCCTCTGCTTTTAGTTATTTGGGGTGTATCCTAGGAGTGCACTTGCTGGATCATATGGTAATTTTGTGTTTAACTTTTGTATTTTTATTCTCTCTTTTTTTTTTTAAAAAAAGATTTTCTTTATTTATTTGACAGAGACACAGTGAGAGAGGGAACACAAGCAGGGGGAGTGGGAGAGGGAGAAGCAGGCTTCCCGCGGAGCAGGGAGCCCGATGCGGGGCTCGATCCCAGGACCCTGGGATCATGACCTGAGCCGAAGGCAGTCACTTAACCGACTGAGCCACCCAGGCACCCTATTTTTATTCTCTTGATAGTGTCTTTTGATGTACCAGTTTTTAAATTCGTCCTGATGTCCAATTTATTTTTTATTTGGTTGCTTTTGCTTTTGGTGTCACGTCTAAGAAATCATTGCCAAATCCAATTGCATGAAAATTTTCTCCTATGTTTTCTTCTAGGAGTTTTATAGTTTGGTCTCTTCAGTTTAGAGCTTTGACTCGTTTTTGAGTTCATTTTTGCATGTGGTGTTAGGTTCCAGCCTCATTATTTTGCATGTAGATCTGCAGGTTTTCCCAGCACCATGTGTTGAAAAGACTGTTCTTCCCCATTGAATGATGCTGGCACCCTTGTTTGAAAATCAGTTGACTACCTATGTGAGGATTTATTTCTGAGCTCTCTATTCCACTCGTCTGTATCCTTATCCCAGTACCACACTGTTTTGCTTACTGTAGCTTTCTAGTAAATTTTGAAATCAGAAAGTAAATCCTCCAATTTTGTTCTTTTTTAAGATCAGGTGAAATTAATAACACAATTTAATCCAGCATATCATTTCAACATGTAATCGATATAAAAACATCATTAATGAGATACTTTACAGGTTTATGTTCCTGCTGTGTCCTAACTTGAGTGTGTATTTGACTTAACAGCCACCTCAGTTTGGACCAGCTGTATTTCCAACTCTCGAGAACTGCATGTGGCTCATGGCCACCATATTGGACAGCTCAGATTTAGCAGGAAATTGCATTGTGGCACAGATCTCTGAAAACACAGAGGGCTTTGGAGTCAGGTGGGCCTGGTTCCAAAGTCAGTTTGCCCCTTTCTTGTTGCGGTGGGCAGAAGGAAGCCACTTGTGGGTGCTGTGGTAGAGGGGAAGCGGTTCAGTCATACCAGGGTAGGAGACAGCAATGAGGAAGGCATGCTGGGGAGGTGACACTTGAGCTCAGCCTCGGAGGTAGAGTGGGGGCTTCACCAAGCGGTCAGAATGGAAAAGGGCATTCTTGGCAGAGTGTGCAGCCTGGGCAGAGGCCCAGGATTTTGAGAGAGCCCATGCTCTTGGAGAACTGCAGGCAGTCCTTTTAGCTTGACCAGGGTATTAGGAGTGGGGGCCCTGGTGAAAGGACAGGCTGGCTGAAGCTGGACCTGCCCCCAGCATCTCTTATTTGGATTCCCCAGCATCTCTTATTTGGGTTACTGGCAGTGGCCTCCTCACCGGCATCCCTTTGTCTGCTCTGCAGCCCCTCTCCCCACCAATCAGAACGTAAGTCAGGTAATGTCACTTCTCTGCTCAAAATCCTCAGTGGCTTCAGTCAATCCAGAAATGTCAGGGTCCTAGTGGGGTCAACCTGCACTTCTCCCTGGTCATCCCTCCTTCTTGAGCACTCTTCTCTGGCCATTTTGGCCTCATTTCCCTGCCCCAGGGCCTCTACGCTTGCTTTTCTCTCTGCCTGGATATGCCTCTCTCAGATGTTCCAATGGCTCACTATCACACTTCATATCTCTGCCACTCAGTTCCCCTCTCTTCAGCGAGCCCCTCCTGTCTGTCACCCTGTACAAAATAAAACAGTGCCCTCCGTAAGTTTTGTTCAAAACAGTTGTCACCAGCTGGTACAGCACGTCTGGCTGTGTTGTCGGCCTCTGCCCCGAGATGTAGGCCCCAAGAGAGCAGGGATTTGTCTCTTTTGCTCTCTCTATAGTGTTTGGTGTTCAGCAGGCATTTGTTGAATGAGTAACTGGATGAATAAATGAACAAAACCTGAAATGTATCAGGCCTTCAAATGTATGTTGATTGGAGATTTTTGTCGAAGTCTTTGCCTTTACTTATTTTCCCTAGCTTTGTATTTGGAAAAAATACAAATATTCAAAAAAGTTGAAAGAATAGTCCAATGACTGTCCATATATCTTCCACTTAGGTTCAAGTACTGCTAATATCTCACCACGATCACTTTATATATTCTCGCAAGTATGTATGTGTTTGTGCAAGTGGATAAAAGTCAGTTGTAGAAACATGACGCTTGACCTTTGTGTTTAGAAGTTGGCTCTGGAGAGTGGTGAATCAGAGGAGACCACAGGCAGCAGGTGGCCAAGGCCATGGCCTCCGACCTGGACTTCTCACCTCCTGAGGTGCCTGAGCCTACTTTCCTGGAGAACCTGCTACGGTACGGACTCTTCCTGGGGGCCATCTTCCAGCTCATCTGTGTGCTGGCCATCATCGTACCTGTTCCCAAGTCCCACGAGGTGGTGAGTCCTTCCCTGTGAGCCTCTGCTCCTCAGACTGGGTTCTAGGTACTAAAAACAGATACCATGGCAGAGAAGATCAGTTAGGACTATGCCAGATTCCCGCCTAGTGGCTTTGAACCACGTGACCAGTACTTTATTTGTTCACACGTGTCAAGCAGATTTTTATTTACTGCCTACTACCTGTCAGTCTGCAGCAAGTTGTAGTGTCCGTCCTCATGCAGCTTCTAGTCCTTGAGAGGGGGGCAGACATGAAACTTATGGATGTTTCCATGAGAAGCCCAGAGCACTGTGAGGGTGCATATCCAGGGGGAGGACCTGGTCTTCCCTGGGGCAGGGGAATTGCATTTGCAAGGAATCTAGTCTAGTTTAAGTCACTGAATGACGATGACTGTGGCCAGAGCACAGAGGGACATGACGAGAGGCGCAACCAGAGGAGTGGGTGGGGCCCGGAGGGTTTTATGTAAGACACTGACAGGATCAGATTGGCTTTTTGTTGTATTGACTTTATTCTGTAGGTCTTTTTATTCTGTAGCGTACTCCCTCCTTCCACCACCCTCTCTCCCCCACCCTCCCTTTTCTCATGACACTGATTTGTTGGAGAAAGCAGGTCATTGTCATCTACAGTATCCACCTCCAGGATTTAGCTGATTGCCTCTGTGCGGCGTCATTTAACCTGTTTTCTCTGTTTCCTGTATTTCCTATGAATAGGAAGTTCAATCTAGATGCTTGAGTGAACTCAGTGAACTCAGTTATCAGGTTATTTGGTGAGAACACCTCCTAGCTGGTGCTGTGGACTTCCTGTTACATGTCATCGATGAGCATGTGGTGTCTGCTTGTCACACATTTAGAGATTCCGATTGATCAGTGGGTTCAGGTGGTGGTCCTTCTATTGAAAAATCCCCACCAGTCTTTCACCTAAGTGTTTTCAGAATCCATTGCTGAGCTCCATTATTTCCTTGTGCATTTATTAGCTGGAATTCTTCGATGAAGAAGACCTTTTCCTCATTACCTGTGTGGTTATTCTGAAATGTTGTTCATAGTAAAGGCTGGATGAATGCTTGGTTCTTTCCCTTTATTAATTTTCAGAGCAGTGAGTTTGGACTCTAGCAACCTCCAATCTTGGCCAATGAAGCTTTGATTTTCACATCATTTTGAACATTATATTTGTATTTTTATTTATATATATATATATTTTTTAAAGATTTTATTTATTTATTTGACAGAGAGAGAGATAGCGAGAGCAGGAACACAAGCAGGGGGAATGGGAGAGGGAGAAGCAGGCTT